CAATTTGTGGCCAAATTCCTGCTACTACAATCTCAATGGTCTAGGAGATTCTTACAGTTCTACAATACACACACACAGAGTGGTGCCAACCAGACTTAGGTTTCCTTTGGCAGTGTGGGTGCTTCAGAAACAGTTGGCATCTATTCATTTCAATTTGAAATCAGTATCAGCCAAAATCTACTGCTAAGATAGAGTTTTTAATGTCTTCATTGCTCCCAACATGAGTTAAATGTGACTACATTGAGAATAGTTTCAACAATAGACTTCAGTAGGAACAAACTTAGCTTGATTCTTTGTGACAAGCAAGGTACCCACTGTTTTTTGCAGCATTCTGAAGGGAAAGTGCTTGATGAGGTTTGAGCCCTGGAGTCATTTCCTTGTCAGGCTGACACTCCCCATCTGCTACTTACAGCTGCCTTTGTTTCAATACAGCCACAGTGGATGTTTTCAGTCCTGCAAGCCTTCTAAATATGAGACTTGGGTGATGTCGATTTCATGTTTCAGACAGAGAAATCTTTGATCAGCAAAGCTTATTTTCTCATTTCTGCTAACTCTAGCTTGGTTCATCTCATACTTGCTGGACTTTGCCATGCGTTCTATTGTATAAGAGGCAGCAGAATTAACAAATAACTTGCTAAGTACCACCCAAAATTCATTTCCCTAATTTCTTGAAATCACCTCAGTTTTTGTTTTAATCACCCCTATTATAATAAGAAAATAGCTTTCTTTTTTTCTAACGCCATCACTAAGAGTTATTAAGTGCATAATAAGAGAGAATTCAGTTTTGTCATCAGATCTGGTAAGTAGGGACTTAAACACAAAACAAGAATTAAAAAATTGATTGTCACATAATACTTGTACATGTTTATGGGATACTGAGTGATATTTGGACACATACAATGTAATGATCACTTCAGGGTAATGAGCATATTAATAACCTCAAACACTGATTTTGTATGTGCATCTGTGTGTGTTTGTGTGTGTGTGTGTGTGTGTGTGTGTGTGTGTATGGTGGGGGTATTTAATGAGTCTTATTTAATGTCTAATATCAAAACAACTATCAGGCAGGTATTGTCATGATCTTCATTGAACAGAAACTCATTTCAGATATAATTTAATGGATATTTATTTCATATATAATTTCATATTTGGTGTTTCATGTAAGTAAGACAGAAAATATTTTCAGGATATTATATTTGCATTACATTTTCTTGTTTATCTGTTTCAAAGCACTAGGAAATTGATAATATTGCTATTTTATTAATAAAATATTTGAGCCAATAGCATACCAATTCCTGGGCTAGGTGACAACCATTATATTTGTATTATACCTGTATCTGCTCTAGATAAAGTGATAGTTAAATTTCATCCATATTTAGGTTAATTTAGTATTTGACTTTTGCCTCTCCTATGAGATTCCACTCTAGTTCAGTGAATTATCAGTGACCACTTTTTTATTAGTCAGTCACTAATTCATCAAGTCTGATATTTGAAGCTTTTATGATAAAGCTTATAGTTATAATAGCAAGTAGGACATTCATATTATGGGTTTATAGAAAGTTGAAAAGATAAAAATATCATTCTCATACAGCGTAACATATAAATATGCAAACCTATTTAATGTTCCCTAGAAGTTCCATTTCATATACTTTTCAAGATAAGTGTTTTTCAGACAAAGTAGATTCAATGATTTGTTCTTTGTCTAGTGTTTGTCTTGCAGTCAGACATTTAACGTAAAGAAATAATGTAGGAGTAAATAACTGCTTAACATTTGACTGTAAAATCATATCAATATTAGTGAACAATTGACCTCTAAGTAAATAAAAATTTAAAGAAACATGTTGTATGCTTTATCAGTATAATGAGAGATCTGGCAACAGTATATTTTAGTTGAACTAAGTCTAAATTAATGAATATGTAGTGTGTTTTACCAAACTTCATAAATATAAAATGCTCAAAAAGATATGAGTGTAGTGAGTCAATGAGTGAAGAGTACAAAGGAGACTGGGATATGATGGTGTCTATACATAGAAAGTAATTTTCAAGCAGGGGTAAATTCAAGGGAACATTTTCACAGTAACCAGAAAGGAACAGTTTAATTCACTAATGGGAATAAACATATTATGACTCTGAAGTGGTTCCACTGACAAAATTAAACAATTTAGCTACACATACAAACTATTTGAATAATTGGCTAAATAATTTAAGGAGCTGAAATTATTGTTGTAAAATGAAGACATTTTTAGATGTGGTAAGGTCTCACACACACATACCCACACTTATACCCACACACAGACATTTAATCACATACACTTATCATTTGAAAGAAGTATGATGCATCTGGTAAAAACCGTGACCTATTCTTTTGTTTGTATTAAACTTAGTATGAAATTACATACACGATTTATGCTGGTGTCACTTTTTCTTTCTCCATAATCATGACCTGTGTTTCCTCAAATCAAAGTGACTCTCTCATGCTCAGTTTATGTGAAGTATAATGACCACTGGTTAAATTTTAGACTGAACTGTCTGACTGCTTCTTCCAAATGATAAAACTTTAAGTATATGTAAAGATGTGAACAGATTTGGAAAACATAAGAATTTCCTGAAAATTACAGATCCAAAAAACTGAAAAAGTTAAAACAAAATCCTGAGAAGAGCATGTTCTCTGATTAATCTCCAAGCTTATAAAAAAGAGATGGATGTAGGGTGTATTTTATATTTTTGGCCTACATTTAGCATTATTAACAACGAATACTTGGAGCTAGATGGGTGAGAAATGAACTTTAGCTTGGCAAAGGGTTGCATGTGTGGGGAAAAAGCTACAGGATAGGTGATATGTGTTTTCTCCACTTTCAAACATGGAATTAAGAATGCTTGTAATAGAGCTCAGTAATAGAGCATTCCTCTTTGTATACAATGGCAAATTTCACCCAAAATTGGAATACTCCTGAGCAACATAGAAGATATGCTTTCTTTAATCATTCCATCACCATGGGAGTATATTTCAGAGCCCTGATTGACTGGTTAGGCCAAGAGACATGAAAAAAAAGTTGCAGAAATTTCAGGTGCCTCATGATAGTTGTCATAAGTCTTGGAAGTAAGATGAATGAGGCAGATAATAAATAAACTGTGGATTTCTTCCGATTTATGAAGAAAAAATACAGGTATTACTGTGTAGGTGGTATGAGCTCTAAAAAATGTAAAAGCCCATATGAAATACAGAGAAGGAGAATTTATGTTTAGCTGAAAATGTTTTTACTCAAAGACCACTAAAAAATTTAAATCATTCTTGTAAAAAGGAATTAATGATACCTAAAATGAGTGAGGAAGTCATGTAAGAATTGATGATGCAGTAAGACATGGAACTATGATAATAAATAAATCATTAATTAAACAAGTAAAGCCAGAAGAATGATATGGCTCCAGGGAGTGGGGAAAGTTAAGAACTTTGGATAGAGGTATGTTGATTTTGAGTTGCCAGCAATATTTATTCATTTTGTAAAATTATTTATGATCAGCTCATGCAAGGCACCACTGCCCTTATGTCTAAATCTATGCATATCATCAAATTTTACAAAGCGAAGCATCAAAACAGGAAGGACTGGCTGGGCATGGTGGCTTACACCTGTAATCACAGAACTTTGGGAAGACAAGATGGGTGGATCACTTGTAGTCAGGAGTTTGAGACCAGCCTACCAACATGGTGAAACCCCATCTCTACTAACTTGGCTGGATGTGGTAGTGGTGCCTGTAGTCCCAGCTACTCAGAGGCTGCGGCTTGAGAATTGCTTCTCCTCAGGAGCCTGAAGTGGCAGTGAGCTGAGATCACACCTCCACACTCCAGCCTGGGCAACAGAGCAAGACTCTGTCTGAAAAATAACGAAAGAAAATTAAAAGGCAGCCCTAATTACACATACATCTGTAAACCTTATTGAGGTGCTTATCGTTTCTAACTCTTAAAGTCGTAACACACCACTGTTGCTATTCAAGGAAATTAAAATAGAACTAAGTGGTCTGTAATTTATTTATGAAGAATCTCAATATTCACAAAAATTAAAATAAAAATCTATATATTGTTGGTGACCTACTTTTGGCTTTATCTTACAAAAGGGAAAATCTAAGCCCATTTTATTCAAACTTAAGTAGTTGTTAAGATGGAAACTGATTTTTGAATGTTTGTTATTTGTTTTGATGATTATAAAATTTATTGAAGGAAAGAAACCTGGACTGATAGAATCATAAATTTTATAATTTACATTTTAATATTTGCATGTGTATATATATGTATTTATGCTGAGGGAAATGTACATACAGGAGGAACACAAATAACTATATTGTAACAATTTAAAAACCACTATCAAAATATAAATAAACACCTACTATTCTGCACATAGAATTAATAAATTATAATTCAATTTCTACAGGTTAACAAAACAGGAAAATGTAAATCATGTCCTTAAAGATACATTGTTCATGTTGACTAAATGATACTTCTATTTTTTACATTTAAAATATAGTGTTTCAAATTACAAACATATTGGGTTTTGTGACAATATTTCATTACTTATTTTGGAAAGTCTTAGAATTATACATTTTATTTTCTATAAGTTAATATAAATAGTAAATGCATTAGACAGAAAATTAAGTTCCACCGTTCATTCATGTCATTCAAATATTCCACAAACATTACTGAGCAACTGCTATGCACCAGGCACTGTTCCAGGCATTTGGCTATACCAGTGAACAGAACAAGGATCTCATTGTTAAGGTAAAATTCTGTCACAGAATGAAAATAAACAGTTAATATAACCAATGCGTTTATTATTTAATGGACTAGAAGGTTTAAAGTGATATGCAAACATGGGAAAATGGAGCAGAGCAAGGAGGACCAGGAAATTTGGGTTCAAGTGGGAGCCTTACAATTTCTTAAAGGGTGTAGCAGGGTAGGCCTCCTTAAGAAGGTGACATTTGAGAAAAGAGTAGGCTTGAGTAAATTATACAGAATTAATTAAGATTAGGAGACTCACCATGGAGCCAAGGGCCCACTCAATATACTGAATATCATCAATTGCTCTGAACAAATAAATGTCCATCTTGTAAAACATGCCCACTCCAAGGACCGGCTAAGAGTCCTTTCATGTTGATCACAAAACAGGCATCACTCACTCTCATTTTGTTATGCAGGTATATTATTATTAGATTAAGATTTATGGTATTTTTTCCTCTGTTATTTCTTTTTAGGTAAAAAAAATAGAGAGTTCATGATGGGCTGTCTGAATCACACTTTCAGCAGCGATTTCACACTTTTGGGACTGTTCTCTTCTTCCCCAACAAGTCTGGTCTTCTACTCACTTATATTTGTCATTTTCATTATGAGTGTAACAGAAAATGCCCTAATGATTCTCCTTATTCACAGTGACTCACGACTCCATACGCCAATGTATTTTCTGCTTCACCATCTCTCCGTTATGGATATCTTGCATGTTTCCAACATCGTTCCCAAAATGGTCACTGACTTTCTGTCAGGCAGCAGAACGATTTCACTTGCAGGTTGTGGGTTCCAGGTGTTTCTGTCCCTCACCCTCCTGGGTGGTGAGTGCCTTCTCCTGGCTGCAATGTCCTATGATCGCTATGTGGTCATCTGTCACCCGCTGCGCTATCCGATTCTTATGAAGGAGTGTGCCAGTGCTCTCATGGCTGGAGCTCCTGGCTTCTTGGGGCTTTGAACTCCACAGTCCACACAGCTTACACACTGCAGTTTCCCTTCTGTGGCTCTCGGGCAATCGATCACTTTTTCTGTGAAGTCCCTGCCATGTTGAAGTTGTCTTGCGTAGATACAACACTCTATGAACGAGGGGTTTACGTAAGCGGTGTGATCTTCCTGCTGATCCCTTTCTCCTTGATCTCTGCTTCTTATGGCCAAATTCTTCTTACTGTCCTCCAGATGAAATCCTCAGAGGCAAGGAAAAGGTCATTTTCCACTTGTTCTTTACACATGATTGTGGTCATGATGTACTATGGGCCATTTATTTTTACGTATATGAGACCTAAATCATACCACACTCCAGGCCAGGATAAGTTCCTGGCAATATTCTATATGATCCTCACGCCCTCACTCAATCCTATCATCTACAGCTTTAGGAATAAAGATGTTCTGGCTGCAATGAAAAATATGCTCAAAAGTAAGTTTCTGCATGAAAAATAAATAGGAAAATTCCTGAATGTGTTCTATTTCTACATTAAATACCTGAAGGATACTCGTGATAGGTTTTCTAGAAAGACAATCAAAGCTTCTATCTTGTCCATATGGAAAGAAGTGAATATTTTAGAAACCTTGTTAATAATGTGTTCGTGTTGTAAACACATACCTCTAAAAATGTATTCTTCCTTCTGTGGTACCAGTTATAATCGTGCAGTAGTTACAGGAAGTAAAAATTATCCAAGGTGTCCTACTCCCTAATACTAAAATTGTAAGACTTGATAAGAATATCTTTAAAAATACAATCACACATCCATTGCTTATTAAAATAATGTTTATTTTCGAAAACTTTGTAAAATTATATTGCTAAAAATCATTTATCAAAAATTCACAAATTTCATGTGAAATCTCCACTATTCTTTGCTTGGTTTGTGAACACCTTTGTTCAGTACAATTATATATATATATACATATATATGCACATGCACACACATATATACGTACACACATATACAGATATAAGTAGTGTTAACATTGAATTACTCATCCTATGCTAGAAGCAACTATACAATATTAAATAAGACTATCATAAAAAATGTCTGATTTCATTTATACATATAGGATTATATTTTACAAACTCTTCTAGCAATTTATCCTAAAAGTTATTTCAAAGAAGACAATAAATATTTCTATTGAGAATTCGTTTTTTAAAATTTTTTAACAAACAATAAGATGCACTTTACAATTGTAAACATAAACAGCTTGTGTCAAATCTGTGTTTTCTGGCAGCTGGGCACCAAGTCTGCCCCCTGCAGGCTCCTGGCTTCCTTCACACTGCACTGTCCATTGGGTGGTTCTGGCTTTAGGACCTGGTGGTGGGGCTGGACAAAGTGGGCTGGGCAGCCCAGTCCTGCTTTTCTCATGCGGTGTCCTGTGCCTGTCATCTCCTTGGGTTGGGGCTTGTGTGGAAGGACCATTCCTGAGGGGTCAAGCCAGCAAAGTAGGGGTGCAGAAGAGTCTCAGCCAGTGTGGTGTGCTGGGCAGGGTCCGATTTTACCACCCTCCTCATCAGGTCAAACAGCTATACGTGTTCCAGAGAGTCTTGGAGCCTGTCACTCTCCAGACGTTTACAGTTCTTCGCGTACCGGCCGTCTGAGATGTTCTCATCCCAAATTAGGCCCCCTTTGTAGAAAAATTTCTGCTTCTGTAAAAAAATACAGCACATTATGCGTGATGGGATGGGCCCTAGGGTGCTTTTGGTTGTCATACGTCTGGAAACCCTGGCAGTACTTAAAGAGAATGCAGCCCATGCCCCACATGGCAGGGGCGTGTCCGGCCCAGCTCAAGGATTGCTTCAGGCCGGCGACAGGGCCGGTGGCCACCATGGCGGTGTGATGCTCAGGTCAGAGGTGGCGCCGTGGAAGCCGCCACCCGGACGCTGGTGCTCCTCGGCCCAGCCGCTGTCGTCACCGCTCCTGGAGCCAAGCGCAGACCCGGGGCGGCAGGTGGCGCCTCCTTAGCATCTTCCGCGCCTGCGACGGGCTCACTTCCGGGCTCCGGGGGACGCGCTGCTGCAGGATGCAGGGGGCGTCTTCGGCCGTGGGCGTGGGCTTGTGGGTCCAAGATAGCCCCGCTCCGCTGACGCCGACCACGATGAGAGCATCAAGACTCTCTCCAAAGCAAGGGCTCTGCTCTTCACACTGGTGTCTCCTCCGGAAGGGCATTCATGTGCATGTGTCTTTATAGTAGAATGATTTATAATCCTTTGGGTATATACCCAGTAATGGGATTGGTGGGTCAAACGGTATTTCTGGTTCTAGATCCTTGAGGAATCGCCACACTGTCTTCCACAGTGGTTGAACAAATTTACACTCCCACCAACATTGCAGAAGTGTTCCTATTTCTCCACATCCTCTCCAGCATCTGTGGTCTCCAGATTTTTTAATGATCGCCATTCTAACTGGCGTGAGATGGTATCTCAGTGTAGTTTTGATTTGCATTTCTCTAATGACTAGTGATGATGAGCATTTTTTCATGTTTGTTGGCCTCCTGTGTGTCTTCTTTTGTAAAGTATCTGTTCATATCCTTTGCCCACTTTTGAATGGGCTTGTTTCTTTCTTGTAAATCTGTTTTAGTTCTTCGTAGATTCTGGATATTAGCCCTTTGTTAGATGGGTAGATTGCCAAAATTTTTTCCCATTTTGTTGGTTGCCTATTCACTCTAATGATTGTTTCTTTTGCTGTGTGGAAGCTGTGGAGTTTAATTAGGTCCCATTTGTCTATTTTGGCTTTTGTTGCCAATGCTTTTGATATTTTAGTCATGAAGTCTTTGCCTATGCCTATGTCCTGAATGGTACTGCCTAGGTTTTCTTCTAGGGTTTTTATGGTGTTAGGTCTTATGTTTAAGTCTTTAATCCATCTGGAGTTAATTTTAGTGTAAGGTGTCAAGAAGGGGTTGAGTTTCTGCTTTCTGCATGTGGCTAGCCAGTTTTCCCAACACCATTTATTAAACAGGGAATCCTTTCCCCATTGCTTGTTTTTGTCAGGTTTGTCAAAGATCCGTTTTTGTCAGGTTTGTTGTAGATGTGTGGCGTTGCCTCTGAGGCCTCTGTTCTATTCCATTGGCCTATATCTCTGTTTTGGTACCAGTACCATGCTGTTTTGATTACTGTAGCCTTGTAGTATAGTTTGAAGTCCGGTAGTGTGATGCCTCCAGCTTAGTTCATTTTACTTAGAATTGACTTGGCTATGCAGGCTCTCTTTTGGTTCCATATGAAGTTTAAGGTGGTTTTTAACAGTTCTGTGAAGAAGGTCATTGGTAGCTTGATGGGGATAGCATTCAATCTATAAATTCCTTTAGGCAGTATGGCCATTTTCACGATACTGATTCTTCCTAACCATGAGCATGGAATGTTTCTCCATCTGTTTGTGTCCTCTCTTATTTCATTGGGCAGTGGTTTGTAGTTCTCCTTGAAGAGGTCCTTTACATTCTTTGTTAGTTGTATTCCTAGGTATTTTATTCTCTTTGTAGCAATTGTGAATGGCAGTTCATTCTTGATTTGGCTCTCTTTAAGTCTGTTATTGGTGTATAAGAATGCTTGTGATTTTTGCACATAGATTTTGTATCCTGAAACTTTGATGAAGTTGCTTATCAGTTTCAGGAGATTTTGGGCTGAGACGATGGGGTCTTCTAAATATACAATCATGTCATCTGCAAATAGAGACAATTTGACTTCCTCCTTTCCTAATTGAATACAACCGAAGGCAAAAAACCCTTCAAAAAATCAATAAATCCAGGAGCTGGTTTTTTGAAAAGATCAACAAAATAGACAGATCACTAGCCAGATTATTAAAAAATAAAAGAGAATAATCAAATAGATGGAATAAAAAGCAATAAAGGGGATATCACCACAGTTCCCACAGAAATACAAACCACCATCAGAGAGTAGTACAAACAACTCTATGCACATAAACCAGTAAACCTGGAAAAAATGGATAAATTCCTGGACACTTGCGTCCTTCCAAGCCTAAACCAGGAAGATGTCGAAACCCTGAACAGACCAATAAAAAGGGCTGAAGTTGAGGCAGCAATTAAGAGCCTACCAACCAAAAAAAGCCCAGGTCCAGATGGGTTCACCGCCGAATTCTACCAGACATACAAAGAGGAGCTGGTACCACTCCTTCTGAAACTATTCCAAACAATCCAAAAAGAGGAAATCCTTCCCAAATCATTTTATGAGACCAACCTCATCCTGATACCAAAACCCGGCAGAGACTCAACAAGAAAAGAAAACTTTAGGCCAATATCCATGATGAACATAGATGCAAAAATCTTCAATTAAATACTGGCAAACTGATTGCATCAGCACATCAAAAAGCTTATCCATCATGATCAAGTTGGCTTCATCCCAGGGATGCAAGGCTGGTTCAGCATACGCAAGTCTGTAAACCTAATTCACCACATATACAAACCGAAGACAAAAACCACATGATTATCTCAATAGATGCAGAGAAGACCTTTGACAAAATTCAACAGCGCTTTATGCTAAAAATTCTCAATAAACTAGGTATTGACGGAACGTATCTCAAAATAATAAAAGCTATTTACGACAAACCCACAGCCAATATCATACTGAATGGGCAAAAACTGGAAGCATTCCCTTTGAAATATGGCACAAGACAAGGATGCTGTCTCTCACCGCTCCTATTCAACACAGTATTGGAAGTTCTAGCCAGAGCAATCAGGCAAGGAAAAGAAATAGTTTTTTGTTAATGTCTAAAACAAAAAAAAAGGTTCTTGACTTTGTAGATCTAATTGGAAACTAAGATGTCTTGTTTTTCTTACCTTAGACACTTAACGTACCAGTTACTCTTACTGTCAATTTAGGGAACTTATTATTACAGGGATTTAGCAGAGGGCTCATCAGGGATTCTTAAGTCCTGATACCACCCTGGATGGCCTATAACAAGTTTATGCTTTTTGTAGGGAAATGAATCCCAGGGAAATGATTTAACATCAGGTATATTTTAGATCAACAACAAGTACTGCAAGGTGCCAAGAGTAATTAAGAATGATTAAGTTTAGATCTTTGACCCATTTTTAGTTGATTTTGGTATAATGTAAGAATTGTGTGTTTAGTTTCATTTTTCTGCATATGAATATCCAGTTTTCTCAGCACCATATACTGAAGAACACCACATATATTGTCTTTTTCCCAGTGAATGTTCTTGGCACTGTTGTGAAGTGTAGGTCGACTGTATTAGGCACAGAAAGACAGGGTTTGCTTGTTTTTACTCTTATGTGAGAACTAAATTTTAAAAAAATTGAACCAATAGAAAAAGATAATCGACTGATGGTCTCCAGAGGGTAGGAAGGGTATGGAGGAGGGGGGATAAAGTGATGATGATTAATGGTTGCAAAAGTTTAATTAGATAGAATCAACAAGAGCCAATGAATAGTACAATAGAGTGATTATAGTAAACAATAATTTATTTCAGAATTTATTCTATATATTAAAAAATAACTGAAAGTGTGTAATTTGATTGTTCCCAATGCAAAGAAATCATA